ATGATGAACTTTACCAGCGGGGAAAAGGCGTCAAGAATTACAAGGAGAATTGTAATGGTACTAGTAATGGGATTTTCGTTGGAAAAACAAACAAGAAAAAAGAGGAAGGTTTTGATCAGCAGCGATTCAAGACGAAGAGTGTTAAGAGCAAGAAACATGTTTATGAGGGTCCAAATCCTGCACCTGGTTTGCCAGAGAAAGTCAAGGAACAAATTTGCGAGAGAGCCAGAGAAAAAGGTAGAGTATTTGATGAAAACAATGAGGTAATTTTGGTGATACAAAAGGCTCTCACAGTAAGTGATGTCGCCAAGCAACAAAATCGTATCACCATTCCTGTAAACAAGATGAAGCATGGCTTTCTCAAAGCTTATGAAGAGGCTTTCCTTGAAATATCAGATGGGAAACATCACAATCGTATAATTGTAGATATGATCGAGCCATCGGGTACAGTGAAAACTGCGCCCTTATCAAAGTGGAAGATGGCGAAGCAAAGAGGCAAGCCTAGTATTTCGTACGTAGTGAATGGAGACTGGAAAAATATTGTGAGCAACAATGGGCTTGAAGCTGGCCAAGTTGTGCAATTGTGGGCGGCTCGGATCGGTGAAAAGCTTTGTTTAGCCTTGGTTATACTTGATTGAGGGACTGCAGAAAGTGCTCGTGATTTATACGTAGTTTATCACCCTGATGATGAAGAAATTCACTTTCATATGTTGTCATGTTTAGATTTCTTATGTACTTTTGCTTTCTTCTTCTTATTTTTTATGTACTTTTGCTTTCTTATTTTTTATGTACTTTATACGTAGTTTATCACCCTGATGATGAAGAAATTCACTTTCATATGTTGTCATGTTTAGATTTCTTATGTACTTTTGCTTTCTTCTTCTTATTTTTTTTTTTTTTTGCCAAACTGATTTTGATTATGATTCAGTGCTTCTGATGCATTGGCTTAGTCTACTAAGAATAAATGTATTTTGGCTTGCAAATAAAAACTATAGGCGTTTTCACAGATAGAAGTGAAGAAATAAAGAAGCTAGCTAATTCGACTGCTCATAAGAAAGATTTTCATAAGTAGCTAATTCAAGTGTTCCTAAGAAAGACCTCGAAGAAGGTTTTGATCGGTGGCAAAAAAAGAGTGAGCAAAGATTGGGAGTTAAGGTCAGTGGTATCTTGCTGTCTAATAGAAACCAGAATTGGAGCGAGTAGCCTCTTGCCTAAGGTCAAAGATGGAGCGGGGAATAACAATTGCCAAAGTCATTAAACAAGGATTTCCTTATGTCAATTGTGAAGCTTAAACTGACAAAAAATTCCTAAACCAGCAAGAAAAATTTTAGAATTGTATTCTTTTTTTTGATGATATGGCAGAAAGTAATTACACGTAGAATTCAACGCTTCCACAGAGCCCAGAAATCCTACTCCATATGTACAATCCTAAAGTCTGTAAAGCCCTGATGATGAAGATATTCTTTCATATGTTGTCATGTTTAAATTTCTCATGTACTTTTGCTATGTTCATGATATAAACTTTTCTTCGTCTTTTTTTTTTTTTTTTGCCAAACTGATTTTGATTATGACTAAGGGTCCGTTTGATTCAATATAAAATATTTTCAACAGAAAATGTCTTCCATGAAAAATTTTATCGAGGAAAATAATTACCTTCTCCATGTTTTTTCCGATGTTTGGGAGGAGATGGAGACTACAAATCTTTAGTGAGCTATTGCACAAGTGGTGGGTTTTGTTCTGAATCTTAAGGCTGGTGGGGGAGCTTGAATAGATAGTCTTACGACTTACGAGGCGGACATGGAAAATAACTTCAATTCATTTATATGGGAAGTCATTTTACACTATCTGATGTAAAATATTTTCGGGTAGGAAAAATTTTCCCAAAGCGATAAGCCAACCAAACAATAGAAAATCTGGAAAACATTTTCTGGAAAATATTTTCCTTCCAAACAAACAGACCCTAGGTGTAAAACTTGTGATGCATTGGCTTAATCTACTACGAATAAATCTAGGTGTTTCCATGGATACAAGTGAAGAAATATAGAAACCAGCTTCTATAATAAGCACTGGCCAGAAAGTGGTTTAATCCAAGTGTTTCCACGGATAGAAGTGAAGAAATATAGAAGCTAGCTTATATAGTAAACACTCTCCAAAGAGTGATTTAACTTACCATGATTAATTTAAAATCTTCAACGCTTTTTAGAGATTATCTTTGTGATTTTCATAAGTAGCTAATTCAACTGCTCATAAGAAATTTTAGAGACTAAAACCGCATGGGAAGATAATCAATTGCAAGAGAAGGAAAACCTCATGAAAATCAGAAAGTAAGAGCATATGATTGCAACATGTTAGTGTTCGCTTAGTATGCCATTTTCCAACCTTTTACATTCCTTTGCTGAGTTTTTTTCTTTTTTTGGTAAGTGAAAGGTCTTCCTTTGCTGAGTTTTTTTTTTTTTCCTTGCTTCTCCTACCATTAGCATCCTGTAGCAAACCAAAACACGAATAGTTTGTTTGGATTTCATTTTTCTGGACTTTTTTAGAAAAATTATTATAGCGATTTGATTAAAAATCTTGGATGTCTCTGGAAATAAGCTTACTGCATTGCCTGATAGCATTTGTCGTTGCCGGTAATTAAGTTGGCAAAAAACCATCTAGTCAACCCAACTTATCTGAGAATTGAGTTACTGATTTTTCACCTTGTTTGCAGGTCATTGGTGGAACTGAATGCAGGGTTTAACAAACTGTCTTACTTGCCAACTAACATTGGGTATGAACTAGTGAATCTAAGAAGACTTTCTGTTCCACTTAACAAACTCCATCATTTCCCAAGTTCCATTGGTGAAATGAAGTCCTTGCGCTTTCTGGATGCACACTTTAATGAGCTCCATAGCCTAACTCCGTCAATTGGGAGACTGACAAACGTTGAGATTCTCAATCTCAGCAGTAATTTCAGTGACCTGAAGGAACTTCCTCAGACTATTGATGATCCATCCAATGTCAAAGAGCTTGATCTTAGCAACAATCAAATGCTATCAGGCAATGCAGTAAGCTTATTTCCAGAGACATCCAAGATTTTTAATCAAATCGCTATAATAATTTTTCTAAAAAAGTCCAGAAAAATGAAATCCAAACAAACTATTCGTGTTTTGGTTTGCTACAGGATGCTAATGGTAGGAGAAGCAAGGAAAAAAAAAACTCAGCAAAGGAAGACCTTTCACTTACCAAAAAAAGAAAAAAACTCAGCAAAGGAATGTAAAAGGTTGGAAAATGGCATACTAAGCGAACACTAACATGTTGCAATCATATGCTCTTACTTTCTGATTTTCATGAGGTTTTCCTTCTCTTGCAATTGATTATCTTCCCATGCGGTTTTAGTCTCTAAAATTTCTTATGAGCAGTTGAATTAGCTACTTATGAAAATCACAAAGATAATCTCTAAAAAGCGTTGAAGATTTTAAATTAATCATGGTAAGTTAAATCACTCTTTGGAGAGTGTTTACTATATAAGCTAGCTTCTATATTTCTTCACTTCTATCCGTGGAAACACTTGGATTAAACCACTTTCTGGCCAGTGCTTATTATAGAAGCTGGTTTCTATATTTCTTCACTTGTATCCATGGAAACACCTAGATTTATTCGTAGTAGATTAAGCCAATGCATCACAAGTTTTACACCTAGGGTCTGTTTGTTTGGAAGGAAAATATTTTCCAGAAAATGTTTTCCAGATTTTCTATTGTTTGGTTGGCTTATCGCTTTGGGAAAATTTTTCCTACCCGAAAATATTTTACATCAGATAGTGTAAAATGACTTCCCATATAAATGAATTGAAGTTATTTTCCATGTCCGCCTCGTAAGTCGTAAGACTATCTATTCAAGCTCCCCCACCAGCCTTAAGATTCAGAACAAAACCCACCACTTGTGCAATAGCTCACTAAAGATTTGTAGTCTCCATCTCCTCCCAAACATCGGAAAAAACATGGAGAAGGTAATTATTTTCCTCGATAAAATTTTTCATGGAAGACATTTTCTGTTGAAAATATTTTATATTGAATCAAACGGACCCTTAGTCATAATCAAAATCAGTTTGGCAAAAAAAAAAAAAAAAGACGAAGAAAAGTTTATATCATGAACATAGCAAAAGTACATGAGAAATTTAAACATGACAACATATGAAAGAATATCTTCATCATCAGGGCTTTACAGACTTTAGGATTGTACATATGGAGTAGGATTTCTGGGCTCTGTGGAAGCGTTGAATTCTACGTGTAATTACTTTCTGCCATATCATCAAAAAAAAGAATACAATTCTAAAATTTTTCTTGCTGGTTTAGGAATTTTTTGTCAGTTTAAGCTTCACAATTGACATAAGGAAATCCTTGTTTAATGACTTTGGCAATTGTTATTCCCCGCTCCATCTTTGACCTTAGGCAAGAGGCTACTCGCTCCAATTCTGGTTTCTATTAGACAGCAAGATACCACTGACCTTAACTCCCAATCTTTGCTCACTCTTTTTTTGCCACCGATCAAAACCTTCTTCGAGGTCTTTCTTAGGAACACTTGAATTAGCTACTTATGAAAATCTTTCTTATGAGCAGTCGAATTAGCTAGCTTCTTTATTTCTTCACTTCTATCTGTGAAAACGCCTATAGTTTTTATTTGCAAGCCAAAATACATTTATTCTTAGTAGACTAAGCCAATGCATCAGAAGCACTGAATCATAATCAAAATCAGTTTGGCAAAAAAAAAAAAAAATAAGAAGAAGAAAGCAAAAGTACATAAGAAATCTAAACATGACAACATATGAAAGTGAATTTCTTCATCATCAGGGTGATAAACTACGTATAAAGTACATAAAAAATAAGAAAGCAAAAGTACATAAAAAATAAGAAGAAGAAAGCAAAAGTACATAAGAAATCTAAACATGACAACATATGAAAGTGAATTTCTTCATCATCAGGGTGATAAACTACGTATAAATCACGAGCACTTTCTGCAGTCCCTCAATCAAGTATAACCAAGGCTAAACAAAGCTTTTCACCGATCCGAGCCGCCCACAATTGCACAACTTGGCCAGCTTCAAGCCCATTGTTGCTCACAATATTTTTCCAGTCTCCATTCACTACGTACGAAATACTAGGCTTGCCTCTTTGCTTCGCCATCTTCCACTTTGATAAGGGCGCAGTTTTCACTGTACCCGATGGCTCGATCATATCTACAATTATACGATTGTGATGTTTCCCATCTGATATTTCAAGGAAAGCCTCTTCATAAGCTTTGAGAAAGCCATGCTTCATCTTGTTTACAGGAATGGTGATACGATTTTGTTGCTTGGCGACATCACTTACTGTGAGAGCCTTTTGTATCACCAAAATTACCTCATTGTTTTCATCAAATACTCTACCTTTTTCTCTGGCTCTCTCGCAAATTTGTTCCTTGACTTTCTCTGGCAAACCAGGTGCAGGATTTGGACCCTCATAAACATGTTTCTTGCTCTTAACACTCTTCGTCTTGAATCGCTGCTGATCAAAACCTTCCTCTTTTTTCTTGTTTGTTTTTCCAACGAAAATCCCATTACTAGTACCATTACAATTCTCCTTGTAATTCTTGACGCCTTTTCCCCGCTGGTAAAGTTCATCATCATCAGTTTCTTCATCGCTACTTTCCACATATTCCTTCGAGAACCCTTGTCTTATTGGAGCCCCATTCTTTTTACGAACAACTTTCCTGATCAACTCATTCTTGTTTCTGAATCCCTCTTCAAAACCCTCCGTCAAGATTCTTTCTGTTATCAAAATCCCATTACCAGTACCCTCCTTGCGCTTCTTGATGAATTTTTGTAATGGTATCGAACAGTAGCCAGGCAACAGACCAGCTCCCAGTGGCAGGTTTATGAACAGCACAGAACTAATTTACCAACAGGAAGAACCAATATGAACTGATGAATAATCAATGAATTAGTATTGATATTGATTGAAAATAGAAGATTACAGAGTTGGCGGAAATAAGAAAGGAAATGAAAGATTGAAGGAAAACAGAAGAGAAAGAACCAGGGAATGATCCCTTACAACTTGACTAACAAAATGATAATCCTTTCCACTACTGATCCTATCTTTATATAGAGTTAACTAATAGCCCGCTCCTCTGATGCTTCCCAATCCAGCTCATCCATGTGAGGGATAACAGAAATCTGTTGGAGAGCCACTTGCTCAGAAACTCACGTTGCTTGAGCTTGTTCCCAGAAAAGGCGTGATTTGTTTCCCACGCCTCCACCTTCAATCTTCTTTGTTTCTCACGTCTTCTTACTTAATAAAAGCGTGTTGCCAGAATCCACGCCTTCCGCCTGTTGTAGTTACTTACTTAAAGGCGCGCTTCTTTGTTTCACGTCTTTAGCTTCTGTTTCATGACAATTGCTCCTCCTTCAATCAATCTTGTCCTCAAGATTGAAATTCAGGGAATTCCTTCCTTATCTTCTCTGCGTCTTCCCAAGTAGCTTCAGCAGGAGTAGTTCCCCACCAGTGAATGAGCCACTGCACTGTTGCTGCATTTCTCTTCTTGATGCTTCTGCGATCCAGAATTGTTGCTGGTGTCACCCTCAAATGTCCTTTTTCGTCTAAGTTTGGTAGCTGGAGCACTGGAGTTGTATTTCCTCCTACCTTTTTCTTTAGTAAGGATACATGAAACACAGGGTGTACCTTGGATCCATCAGGTAGCTTAAGTTTGTATGCTACCTCTCCTATTTTCTGAACTATTTGATAAGGGCCAAAATATCTAGCTGACAGTTTGGTGTTGCTCCTCAACTCCACAGACATTTGTCTATATGGCTGTAATCTTAAGTAGACCCAATCCCCTACCTGGAATGATCTTTCACTTCTATTTTGGTCAGCATAAAACTTCATTCTGTTCTGGGCTTCTTGCAAGTTGGTTTTGAGAATTCCATCCATCCTCTGTCGATCCTTCAGATGGTCCTCCACTGCTGCTACTCTAAGGTGTAAATAGGGACCTACTGCCAGTTGAGGAGGAGCCATTCCATACAATGCCTCGAATGGACTCATCTGAATAGTTGTGTGGTAGGTAGTGTTATACCACCATTCAGCAAGGGAGAGCCATGCATTCCATCTTCTTGGCTCCAAATGTGTCATACATCTTAAGTACATTTCCAGCACTTGGTTGACCCTCTCGGATTGGCCATCTGTTTGGGGATGATAGGCTGTGCTTAGCTTCAAATCCGTACCCAACAAAGTGAAGAGTTCAGTCCAGAATTGACTGGTGAACACCTTGTCTCTGTCAGATAGCATGCTTAAAGGAATTCCATGCAGCTTGCAGATGTGATCCAAAAAGAGTCTGGCTACTGTAGGGGCATCAAAAGGATGTGAAAGGCTGATGAAATGTGCTGATTTGGTGAGTCTATCCACCACTACCATAATAGTGTCCCTCTTCTCTGATATTGGCAGGCCTTCGACAAAATCCATTGTGACATGACTCCATGAGTACTGAGGTATAGGAAGAGGTTGCAGGAGTCCAGGATAAGCAACGTGCTCATCCTTGCATTTTTTGCATGTGTCACACTGCAAAATGGTATCCTTGATATCCCTGTGCATCCCTGGCCAGTGGAACAGCTGCTTGGCTCTTAAGTAGCTAGCCTGAATTCCAGAATGACCTCCAAGTTGTGAACCATGTATTGCAGCAATGATTTTCTTCCTCACATCTCCCTTTGAGCCAACTACTATCTTTCCTTTGTATCTGAGCACTCCATCCTGATAAGAGTGTTCTGATGGATTACTAGGAGTGAGCAATAACTGTCTGATCAGGTTCTGTACTTCTTCATCCCCTTGGTAGCTACCTATAACCTCCTTCATCCACTCTGGAATGACACATGTCAGCTCAGTACAATCTCCTTCTTCTCTGCTTGCCCTCCTGGATAGAGCATCTGCTGCTACATTTTCTTTCCCTTTTCTGTATTGGATCTCATAGCTTAGTCCTAGCAGTTTGGTGAGCCATTTCTGCTGAAGTGTTGTCGTGACTCTTTGGTCTAGGAGGTACTTAAGACTCTGATGGTCAGTCTTAATAATGAAATGACTCCCCTCCAGGTAGTGCCTCCATTTAGTGACAGCAGTTACCAAGGCCAACAATTCCTTTTCATAAATGGACATTCCCAGGTTCTTGGGACCCAGGCTTTGGCTCATGAATGCGATTGGCCTTTTATTCTGCATCAGTACTGCTCCAATTCCTCCATAGCAAGCATCAGTTTCCACTTCAAAAGGCTTGGTGAAATCAGGTAAGGCTAGCACGGGTGTGCTGCACATTGCCAGTTTGAGCTTCTGGAAGGCCTCCTCTGCTTCTGTATTCCAGTGGAAGCCATCTTTTCTTAGCAATATGGTAAGTGGCTTTGCAGTAGCTCCATATCCCTTGACAAATTTTCTGTAATACCCTGTTAAACCCAGAAATCCCTTGAGCTCCTTGACAGAAGCTGGCTTAGGCCATTTCATCATACTGTCCACTTTCTTTGGATCTGCCCTTACTCCTTCTCCTGAGATAATGTGGCCAAGGTATTCTACTTCAGTTTGTGCGAAGGAGCATTTACTCCTCTTGGCATACAGTTGATTTTCCTGCAATATGTTTAGTACTTCTGCCACCTGCTGCAGGTGCACTTCCAGAGAGGGACTGTAAATCAGTATATCATCAAAAAAAACCAGGACATACCTCCTCAATTGCTCCCTGAAAATGTGATTCATGAGGCTCTGGAATGTTGCTGGAGCATTTGTCAGGCCAAAAGGCATAACTTTAAACTCATAAAGGCCTTGGTGTGTTCTGAAGGCTGTTTTATGCACATCTTCCACCTTGACCCTGATTTGATGGTAACCTGCCCTTAAGTCAATCTTGGTGAAGTATTTTGAGCCCTGTAATTCATCCAGGAGTTCATCTATTAGTGGCATAGGGAATTTGTCCTTCAAGGTGAGTTCATTGAGTTGCCTGTAATCCACACAAAACCTCCAACTTCCATCCTTCTTTTTGACTAGTAGTACTGGAGATGCAAAATGGCTGTTACTAGGCTGAATGATTCCCATCTGCAGCATTTCCTTCACCAATCTCTCTATTTCTGACTTTTGTACGTAGGGGCACCTATATGGTCTGACTTGGAATGGGGAAGCTCCCTCTTTCAAAGGAATGCTGTGGTCGTGGCTCCTCCTTGGGGGCATGCCTTGAGGTTCAGCAAACACTCCTTCAAACCTGCCCAGCATTTCCTCCATCTCTGTTGGTATTATTTCAGTGTCTCCTTTCCCTTCTTCCACCACATACAGCTGGGCAGTTATCCCATATGCCTGTTTCCTCCTCCATTTTGCTAGCTTGCTTCCTTTGATGGCCTTGAGTTGAAGCTCATTGACTTCCCCCTTTAGCTCCACTGGTTGGCCCCCCTGCAGGAACTTCATGGAGAGTTGCCTGAAATCAAACTCAATAGGGCTGTATCTGGCTAGCCAGTCTACTCCCAAGACCATGTGGCAACTTCCCAGTTTCAAGGTATTGAATTGGTGTGTGAACTTATTTCCCTGCATTTCCCATTGCAAGGGCCCTTGTAGTTGCCTAGACTCCAACTGTTCACCATTGGCAACCCTGACTGTTAATGGATTTCCAATAGTTGGCAGTTGAGTGGTCTTAGCCAACTTTTCATCAATGAAACAGTGAGTGCTCCCACTATCTACCAAGATTATGATCTCTCTCCCTGCTATCTTCCCTCTTAGCTTAAGGGTCTTATGTTCAGTTCCCCCAGCCAGAGCATGGATGGAAACTTCTATATTCTCATTACTTAACTCCCCTTCTGGACAGTCACAGAATTCCTCTGTATCCTTCCTTAGTTCCTCTGAGCTCTCTCCTAACCCCCATGGATCATCTATCAGTATGTAATTCAGGTGAGCTTGTTTGCAGGTATGTCCCAGTGTATAAGGCTCAGCACACTTGAAACACAACCCCTTTTCTCTCCTGTAACTCAGCTCAGAGGGAGTGATTTTTCTGAACTGATCTACTGTATGGTTTCCTGTTTGGTTGCTTCTATTGGAAATAGGCTCTGGCTTCTTATATTGGAAGTTAGGCCACTTCATTTTGGTATGTGGGGTGAAATTTTGTTTGTTAACAGGTGGGATGCTAGGTGAGGGTGTGTATTTGCTCATCATCTTCCCTTGTGTTTTCCTAACAGCTTCCAGGTTCCTTTCCTGCAACTTAGCAGCTTCAATGGTGTCTGCTAAGGTGAGGGGTCTGGTCATCCTAACCATACTTACTATTTCCTCCTTTAAACCACTAAGAAAACACGATTTGTAATATGAATCAGGTTGACCAGGGAGAGATAACATTACCATAGATTTCAGTTGTTCAAACTTCTCCAGGTACTCAGTGACACTCCCTGTCTGCATCAGCTTGTTAAATTCCTCTATGGCCTCCTCTGGATCTCCCTCCCCAAACCTTTCACAAACCGCCATTGCTAGTTCTCTCCATGGAACTGTCCCCTTCTCGTGGTACATGCCATGGAACCAGATGTCTGCCTTCTCCTGGAAATGGAGTTGAGCAATGTCTGATTTCAGGCCTTCCTCCACTTCATGGATCTGGAAGTATTTGTTTGCTCTTCTAACCCACTCTCTGGGTTTATTTCCATCAAACGCAGGGAAGTCCATCCTTGGTAGTCTGGCTCCCCCTTTACTTCCCCCTTTCTCAGTTAAATCTGTGGTAACTGCTATCCTAGCCTCATTCCTAGAACTACCCCCTTCTACCTCCTTCCCCTTGTCGTTTAGTTTGGCCATGATCTGAGCCATCATGTTCATCATCCCCTCATATTTCTGATCTAAATTTTTTATGGCTCTATCTGTGCTCTCCTGCCTATGCTCCATTGCCCTTACAGACTGTTCTACCCCATCATTCTTATTGGCAAAAGTCCTCACCACACTCCCCAACTCAGTGAGCTCCTTTCTCAGAGCTTCCTCCTGAGTTTTAGTCATGTCCCAATGGCTTGTAGCTAGCTCTGATACCACTGTAATGGTATCGAACAGTAGCCAGGCAACAGACCAGCTCCCAGTGGCAGGTTTATGAACAGCACAGAACTAATTTACCAACAGGAAGAACCAATATGAACTGATGAATAATCAATGAATTAGTATTGATATTGATTGAAAATAGAAGATTACAGAGTTGGCGGAAATAAGAAAGGAAATGAAAGATTGAAGGAAAACAGAAGAGAAAGAACCAGGGAATGATCCCTTACAACTTGACTAACAAAATGATAATCCTTTCCACTACTGATCCTATCTTTATATAGAGTTAACTAATAGCCCGCTCCTCTGATGCTTCCCAATCCAGCTCATCCATGTGAGGGATAACAGAAATCTGTTGGAGAGCCACTTGCTCAGAAACTCACGTTG